CTCCTTGAGAAAAACGAAAATGTCAAGGGTTGTTTTGATGTCTTCCTCTGTCAAACACCTAAAAAAAACACGGATGGCTTGCCGTCAGCCAACCAAAAGGACAGGATCCTGTGCAACGGATGAAAATATCCAAGGTCTAATTATCAGAGAAGCACATATCTCGGTGTAATAATAATAATAAATGAATCATAGAAACATTTTCCCATGAGCTCAGTTTCAATTCGGGACACAAGGAAAATATGCTAAAGTGTTTCTTATAAAAATAGCTGAATTGGAAGGTCCACAAGTAAATCTCAAATTGTAATTTCTAATGGAAATTAAACAGTTTGAAAAAATCCTTGAAAACGCGATGTATTGTGGACTCACTAATGTATTATCTGAACAGTGCGGACTAAAGTTAAGGTAGTCAAATAGATATCACCGAAATGAATAGTTTTGATTTTCAGCCCCTTACTTTATATGATCATATATTATTCAGTGAATAGGTTTATAGTGAAATATTAAAAGCGTACACCTACCTAAGTGAATTGAAAAATAGTTGAGAGTTGAAAGTGGTGGGATTTCATATCAGTAGTTCAAGACTCCGAAAGTAACAGGGTAGGTGAGCTCTTTTTTTAGTAATGATGAAAAAAGATTCCGTCTCAATGTATCTCCTCTATTTATATTTTCAGATTCTCCGCACTTGAAATGAGGAGGTCATATACCCATGACATTTATGCGAATCATCTAACTGTAAATGTTTTCCATACAAAAAGAAAAAGAAAAATACTTAGAATTAAAAAAGAAAAAGTATTCTATAAGGAAAAAGACTCTAACAAGGCATGTCCGCTGGAAAAAGTGCATAGAAAATAGAAATTAAATCTATAGGGATTTCGAGAACAGTGTAGTGTTGAACTTGGTATATGATTGTTTACACGCACTGATGAAGAAATTAACGTCATTCCATTCGCCTTCCTGTTAGAAAAGGTTCTTCATCGAGTTTAAGCTTTCTTCAGAGCCTTTTTAGGGGATATCTTCCTGGTAGGAACCTTCTTGAGGGATATCTTCCTGGTAGGAACCTTTTTGCCAACAACCTTCTTGGAGGATGCCTTTTTGCCAACAACCTTCCTGGGGGATGACTTTTTGCCAACAACCTTCTTGGCACCAACCTTCTTGGGAGATGCCTTCTTGGAAACAACCCTCTTGGCAGCAACCTTTTTTGAAACAAACCCTGCGGCTGCCTTCTTTACAGAAGCTTTCTTAGCTGCAACCTTCTTCGGAGACGCCTTCTTGGGAGATGACTTTTTAGGTGACATTTTCTTAGGAGATGGTTTTTTAGGGGACACCTTCTTGGGAAGCACACGAACTGAACGCTTCTTCGAAGGGTTGCCGCTAACGGCGGAGGCGAAGTTTTGAGATTCAGGAGACAACATTTATATAAATATTTTACTTTTTCTTTGTATCCAAAAATCGGAGTTTGTATGAGGCAGTAAGCTTGAAAAGAAAGGAGCTTTCCGTTTAAAAATGAAATAAGAGAGAAAAAGCAATTTGGAAGAAAAAAATAGTCCAGAAAAAGAATAAGAATATTTTAATATTAATATAATTTTTCTAACATTATTAGCAGCGTCACAAATTCATAAGTCCCACAACTAGCATATTTTTCTTGGAAATTTTTTTTACCTGTAGCATTTAACAGGATAAAATATACCAGGAAAACTCATAGTTATATACAATACGAAAAAAATCTTAGAAGCAATTCAACAATAAAAATTAATCCAAAAGTCGTAATATTTTATAATCCACATTTATTGCTTCTAAAACCTTTTTAACAAATTTGAGTATATAACGATAGAGTATTATTCATGCCGTATGAGGAAATATATTTTGCCTTATAAATATCGCAAATAAAAGAAAAAAAGCACAATAGAAAAATGAAAGCATATTTTATTCACACAATTTTTGTCAGAAATACAATATGTCAAATACGCTGCGAGGTAAAAAGCATGATGCATTTTTGGGGGGGTGGGGGAGTAGGAGAGTATTCCATTATTAACCTCTATCAAGCCATTTTAATTTCGACAATGAAATTATCGCATATACATATATATTCTGTTCTTAAGTCCGATACCATTATGGTTGTTTGCATTAGAGATTTATGTCCCTTTTAATATGCGAATTTCATGCAAACAAAATGGCCAAACGTATGGGTAAGCATAGTTCTGAAATTTGTGGAACTTTTTCTACACCATAACACAAAGAAACAGCAATATCAAAACGTATTTACATTATCATGCAGGAATTTTCACTCTTTCGAGAGGCGTGTGAAGTGTTGTGGATAGATCCTCGAACCCCTGATGAAAGCGTGAGCTGCCCGGAATGATCCCGAATGGAAGCTCCATTCTGCTCAGAGGAGTGGTTGGAAAGGCGGTGATGGTTTCTACGGAAAGTTCGGTGGAGCTGGGCGGCGGCGGCGAATCGATCGTTGAAGGTCGGCTCGGAACGCGAGGTGGAAGGGGCATTCGCCAACCGCTCATGTCGGAGCATACGGCGAAAGTA